TAGAGGAGCAATGCTGTATTTGTCGTAAAACACTTGTGAGCAGGCGAGCAAAGGGACAAGCACATAGCTCTGTGGTTACCTTTTGCTATAAATGCTACCTCTGGACACCTGTGGGTAAAATTGGCATCATGCCCAAAGAGGGTGAAGGGGTTATTGAAATCAATGACAGCAGTAACATGAAAACATCTCCTTTTTGCAGGCTTCTTATTAGTAGACTATGCAGATCAATAAAAACTGCAGTAGCACATTTTGAATCCGCTCTTATGCTTATGGATGAAAGTTGTGGAGCTTGAGCAAAAGGGTGTCATTATGCAGGAAGCAGCATTTCTAAATATATCCCTGAATAGGACCCTTTGACTTAGACACTTATTGCTTTTTTACTTTGTCCTGTGTAACATTTCAGCTGATCTTGCAGACTATGACTTTAGTCTGTCAGAATTTTCTAATTATCGCCCTCGCTGCATGAGTAAATAAAAATAAACAAAAGTAATTTGAAGGTGTTACCACTAATAGCGAACTATATTGGAAATCTTTCCACGCTTTCTGTCTTTGAAGGCTCTAAGCCTTTATGTATTGGCTGAAGGTGCCTTAAAGCTTTGAAAGCTTGAAATGATTTGCAATACTAGTTAGCTCCTGAAGGCATCACCTTCAAATGCATGTACTTTTTTCATTTTATCTGTAATGTGTGCTTTGCTGTCTTACTTTTACCATAGCGTGCCCATTGGTTGAAATTACTTGTTGCCTATTTTCCACACAACTGATGTATGCACATGTGATTCTTGCCAGTAGTATACTTTAGAAGCCTATAAAGAGAGATACAGTACAGAAGAGTTATAGCAGAACACAAGAAGAGACATTCTTTAAAATGCATGGCAAAATAACATTCACATTGATGACCCCAACCCAACAGCAACTGAGACAAAGAAAAGAAAGTATCATGGTCCTCAATATCTGGGTGTTTTCTTCACTCCTGGAGGTGGTGGATTTTGGGGGTAGGGCAATTAAACTAATCTTATGCAAAACACAGTTTTACTTTAAAGAAAAATTATAGTGTACTTTTAGTGAGTACAAATTTGAATTTATTATTGTAATATTTGTCAGAAAGAAAATGTTGACTTGACTTTATATCTAACTTGTGGTTTGCTCACACAGGGCAAAGCAACAGGTTTACTTAAATGTTCATTCCCTCTAGCTACATATACTCAACTTTACTTTCTCACATCTTTTTGGTCAGTTAAAGTAGAGCTTCATAGGAGGTGATTTCTACCTCCCCAGTGGCTCCACTCCCCCTTTGGGTGCCACCATCATGACACACACGCAGATGTACCCATTTGCTCTTCTTGGTCTTCGAGTGCTAGCAGAGCTTGTGGATTCACATGCTCATATGCTGGTGATTTACCATGCATGCACAAAGACAAGAAGGGTTTCAGACTTCCCCAGTTGCAGCCTTTGTATGTGCGTGGGAAACCCTGCGCATGTGCAGATACATGGGGACCCGGTGTATGAGCAGATGTGCCACAGGGCTCTCATAGTACCCTGAGCCCTGCTGCACATTTGTGCACGTGCAAGGGGTGGGGAGCAATTCTTGCCTAAGCAAGATTTATAGAAGTGCTACTTTGCAGCACAAATAAAGTTGTTTTGAAAAAAAAACACATTCCATTTGTAAGAGTGGGAGGGGGGAGAGGGCAGGTAAGCCTAACATGCCATTAGGAGGAATATCCACTTTAGATACCTTTGTTTAGGGAAGCTTGTGACTCACTCCTTTTCGCTCATGTGACAGTGCTAGTGCTTGGTAATTGGCTGCTCAGGAGCTTAGTGCTGTTAAATACGGGAATCCATAGGCTGGCTATTCATCATGCAATTTTCTTTCCTTCAACCACAGGATGAAGGAAGGAAAATCACTTGATTCCCCCACCAAGACAGTCAGAGCACTGCTCTATTGTATTCTGACAGCAGAAGGTTTATCTGTAATCAGAATACAATGATCACTGCTTCCGGCTATAGCCAGCAGCAGTGATCAGATGAAAAAAAAATGACGGGTTGGTTGTACTGAAGTCGATCAATAGATCGATTTCAGTACAACCAGCCTGCCCATAGATGGATCACAATTCGGCCAGCTCCTGGTGAACTGGCCAAATTTCAATCCATTTATGACTGCCTTTAGCCTCGTATAAGTTTGCTCGTTATGCCATAGTAAGTGGATCAGCTGGAGAGCAAAGGGAAGAGGAGTATGTGCAGATGGGGAGGGACAGCAGTTAGGTGAACCTGTTTGCGTGGCACAGTACAGGTTTACTTTGAGAGACTAAGTACAGTAGTATTTTAGATTTCAGCTTTTGAAAGTTCCCTTGTTGTTTTATTGGTGACAAAAAAGAGTGTATAAATTTATTATACCCCAGAAAAGAGAAAGCAATTTGACATTTACCCTAGCCTTAACCCTTAAATCTAATCCACGAATCCCTTAACCCGAACACAACCACTACTATTCACACAGCTAAGCATTTTCAGGCATTTCTTCAAGAATTATTTTTTTTAGGTGTTTTGAGCATTTTTTTCTTTAGCAGAATTTCAAATATATCAGGCATTTTTTCATGCGGTTTTCATTTAGGCATTTTTGATGTGGCCAGTAGAAACCTGTGTTTTATGTCCAATGAAAACCTATTTACATGTGACATAACATGAGGATGAGCACAGTGTGCAAGTACATAACTTTTCTCTGCTTTCTGAAAAACATGCAGCTGAAATGTTGCAGAAAACTGCTCGGCAGGTTTTCCACAGGCAACACAGAATGGAGAAGACTGATCACATAGCTGGGTCACACTTCTGAAAAAGAATACAAGTTTCCACAAAGGTTCTAGAGCAAGGTATGAAACAACAGGAAACCCAGAATGAAGCACATTGCTGCTGTGTACACATACGTACTGTACCTTTCTCCTTTATTTGGGGAGCAGTGTAGCTGTTCCAGTGTGGCAATAAGTTTCTTCCAACTTATTCCCAGGCTCTGGTGGTTTTTGTCCAGCTCCGAGAGGATCCCTAGGATCATAGATGCAAGGGTGGCCATGAATTAGACCAATGAAGGTCTCAGCTTCCAGCAGCATCTCTCCTCCATTTTGAACACCAAATATGTGCTTACAAGGTGTGCAGTGATGCTAGAAAAGGGGAGGGGAGCTGCTGTTTGAGCTGAAAATGCTTAAACAATGGTCATTCTCACTGTTTAGGCATTTTCCATTATATTTGGAACAAAAACTCTCAATTCTGACTGAAAAGTAGCTCATGTACTTTTTTGAGAGCGGCAGGCATTTTGGTACAGGCGACAAATCTCTCAAATGTGAACAAGGGTCCTAGAAATGAATAGACATTTCCATGTTGAGCGTTTTTGAACATCTAACTACAAAACACTCAAATGTGAAGAGAGCCTAGTCTTTAGTCTGACCCAGGGGCGGACTGACAACTCATGGGGCCCCCAGGCAATAGGGGATCATGGGGCCCCTGTGTCCTTGCCCAAACTCAAAAAAAGCCTATGAAAAAGGTACCAGGGGCATTTTATGGGGCCCCCTACTGACCCTGAGTTTCCAAATGATCAGTCCACCCCTGGTCTGACCTATAACATTTAACTCTAAACCAAAATCATATTATCATGGGGATAAACACTATTATACTATCCTGGCAATAGTATATTATCACACAGCAATAAAACTGAAATGACAAGTAATGGAAAACTGGGTACCTCTTTATTATTGGTGCCTAAACCTGTGCCAAAATCTCTAAGCCAAAATGAAGTGCTCTAGAAATCAGAAGAGTAGTGTGTTCTTTATAAAGTGAAGAGTACTTTATACTGTTGCTAAAAATAAATGTCTTCACTAGCAATCTCAGATTGAACTGTTGGACTCCATTACACACTCCTTTTGACAAGACCGGAACAGATCTTGTCCAGGTATGCTGTGCTACATTGCATGCTGCCATCAGAGATCCAAGTCTCCCATCCCATCTGTTACAATGTAGCAGATTCGTTTAGCAGCCATCTCTAGAAATCAGAAGAGTAGTGTGTTCTTTATAAAGTGAAGAGTACTTTATACTGTTGCTAAAAATAAATGTATTCACTAACCAGCTCAGATTGAACTGTTGGACTCCATTACTCACTCCTTTTGACAAGACCGGAACAGATCTTGTCCAGGTATGCTGTGCTACATTGCATGCTGTCATCAGAGATCAAATTCTGCCATCCCATCTGTTACAATGTAGCAGATTTGTTTAAAAAATACACAGCAATGTTTAAAGCAGGACTACAGGTATATACTGTATATATGTGTGTGTATATATATATATATATATATATATATATATACACACACACACACACGAGGGGCATTCAAGTCAAACCGGGACTTTTAATTTTACAGGTATAAATAAAAGATGCTAGTATAGTGGTACTACATGCAGTAGTAAGTGGCAAGTGTGTTCTATTACTGATGGGCAGTGCACATATATCGTGGGCCAGTCCACAGACCGTTAATAAAGATGGCAGATAACAGTGTTAGTGCATGCATGGAACAGCATGTGGTGATGAATTTTCTTGTGAACGAAGGCATTAAACCCACAGATTTCAACAGAACACTTCAAGCACAGTACGGTGATGAGACGCTCAGTCGCAGTAAGACATTTGAATGGTCTAAACGTTTCAAAGATGATGGTATGTCCATCAGTCCCAGCCCACAGCAGTCATTCCTGAATGCAGAATGCAGTACGCCTGATTGTGGATAATCGACACATAACCTAAAATTGCACAAGAGATAATCTTTCTGTGGTCAGCAATGATGATGAAGTGAAGCATGCTGTTGTAGGATGGTTCAGGTGTACTGACAAATCTTTCTATGCCAAAGCTTTCCAGGCAGTGGTTAAGCACTGGGATAAGTGTATAAATGTAGCAGGGAAGTATATCAAAAAAGTAAATGAGGTTCCAGTCACCTCCATGGCCACAGATGTATAAAATCAAACACCTAGGCATGCAATCTGTTTCTACAAACATTTGTGAAAGAATGAGTCGCTCTCAGGAGCTCAGTGACTCCAAGCGTGGTAGGTTGCCACCTGTGCAATAAGTCCATCCGTGAAATTTCCTTGGTACTAAATATTCCACAGTCATTTGTTAGTGGTATTATAACAAAGTGGAAGCAACTGGGAACAACAGCAATTCAGCCACATGGTAGGCCACGTAAAATAACAGAGCGGGGTCAGCGCATGCTGAAGCGCACAGTGCGCAGAAGAGGTCGCCATCTGTCTGCAGTCAGTAGCTAAAGACCTCCAAACTTCATGTGGCCTTCAGATTAGCACATCAACAGTGCTTAGAGAGCTTCATAGAATGGGTTTCCATTGCCAAGCAGCTGCATCCAAGCCTTACATCACCAAGTGCAATGCAAAGCATCCGATGCAGTAGTGTAAAGCATGCCGCCACTGGACTCTAAAGCAGTGGAGACATGTGCTCTGGAGTGAGGAATCATGCTTCTCTGTCTGGCAACCCATTGGACATGTCTAGGTTTGGCGGTTGCCAGGAGAACTGTACTTGCCTGACTGCATTGTGCCAAGTGTAAAGTTTGGTGGAGGGGATTATGTGTGTGGGGTTGTTTTTCAGGGGTTGGGCTTGGCCCCCTAGTTCCAGTGAAGGGAACTCTTAAGGCATCAGCATACCAAGACATTTTGGACAATTTCATACTACCAACTTTGTGGGAATAGTTTGGGGATGAGCCCTTCCTGTTCCAACATGACTGCACACAGTGCACAAAGCAAGGTCCATAAAGACATGGATGAGTAAGTTTGGGGTGGAAGAACTTGACTGGCCTGCACAGAGTCCTGACCTCAACCCGATAGAACGCCTTTGGGATGAATTAGAGCGTAGACTGCCTGCCAGGCCTTCTCGTCTGACATCAGTGTCTGACCTCTCAAATGCACTTCTGGAAGAATGGTCAAACATTCCCATAGACACACTCCTAAACCTTGTGGACAGCCTTCCCAGAAGAGTTGAAGCTGTTATAACAGCAAAGGGTGGACCAACTCAATATTGAACCCTATGGACTAAGACTGGGATTCCATTAAAGTTCATGTGCGTGTAAAGGCAGGCATCCAAATACTTTTGGGAATATAGTGTGTGTGTGTGTATGTGTATGTATGTATATGTATATGTATATATATATATAGAGAGAGAGAGAGAGAGAGAGAGAGGTAAGTCTGTGCATATTTGCACATTAAGCAAGAGTCCTGGGGACCCGCATTGGCATAGTTATGTGTTAAATTTATTTAGTATATGTACTTAGATATGCCTCCATATCAGATTTTTGTAAAGCCTTTTAGAGCAACACTCAGGCTAGGAGATGAAGAGGCAGCAGTAGGAGCCAATTAGGTGTTCTGCATGCAAATGCTGGCAAGAAATGTGCTGGCAGGATATAGCAGAGGGATGAGTTTATCAGTCTGCTGCTGCTCCTTTATGGTTTAGTTATAGACTGGGGGCCGGGACAAGCTGTATTGCTTAACTGCAAAACTGAACAGACAGAAATGCAGATCTTTTTGTCTAGTAAATCAGCTTCCATATACAGTCAGGTCCATAAATATTGGGACATCGACACAATTCTAACATTTTTGGCTCTATACACCACCACGATGGATTTGAAATGAAATGAACAAGATGTGCTTTAACTGCAGACTGTCAGCTTTAATTTGAGGGTATTTACATCCAAATCAGGTGAACGGTGTAGGAATTACAACAGTTTGCATATGTGCCTCCCACTTGTTAAGGGACCAAAAGTAATGGGACAGAATAATAATCATAAATCAAACTTTCACTTTTTAATACTTGGTTGCAAATCCTTTGCAGTCAATTACAGCCTGAAGTCTGGAACGCATAGACATCACCAAACGCTGGGTTTCATCCCTGGTGATGCTCTGCCAGCCTCTACTGCAACTGTCTTCAGTTCCTGCCTGTTCTTGGGGCATTTTCCCTTCAGTTTTGTCTTCAGCAAGTGAAATGCATGCTCAATCGGATTCAGGCCAGGTGATTGACTTGGCCATTGCATAACATTCCACTTCTTTCCTTTAAAAAACTCTTTGGTTGCTTTTGCAGTATGCTTTGGGTCATTTTCCATTGTGAAGCGGCATCCAATGAGTTCTGAAGCAAATGCTTCAAATATGAGCAGATAATATTGCCCGAAACACTTCAGAATTCATCTTGCTCCTTTTGTCAGCAGTCATATCATTGATGAGGTGGTATGCTTAGGATCATGAGCAGTTCCTTTCCTTCTCCATACTCTTCTCTTCCCATCACTCTGGTACAAGTTGATCTTGGTCTCAACTGTCTATAGGATGTTGTTCCAGAACTGTGAAGGCTTTTTTAGATGTTGTTTGGCAAACTCTAATCTGGCCTTTCTGTTTTTGAGGCTCACCAATGGTTTACATCTTGTGGTGAACCCTCTGTATTCACTCTGGTGAAGTCTTCTCTTGATTGTTGACTTTGACACACATACACCTACCTCCTGGAGAGTGTTCTTGATCTGGCCAACTGTTGTGAAGGGTTTTTCTTCACCAGGGAAAGAATTCTTCGGTCATCCACCACAGTTGTTTTCCGTGGTCTTTCGGGTCTTTTGGTGTTGCTGAGCTCACTGGTGCGTTCCTTCTTTTTAAGAATGTTCCAAACAGTTGTTTTGGCCACGCCTAATTTTTTTGCTATCTCTCTGATGGGTTTGTTTTGTTTTTTCAGCCTAATGATGGCTTGCTTCACTGATAGTGACAGCTCTTTGGATCTCATCTTGAGAGTTGACAGCAACAGATTTCAAATACAAATAGCACACTTGAAATGAACTCTGGACCTTTTATCTGCTCATTGTAATTGGGATAATGAGGGAATAACACACATCTGGCCATGGAACAGCTGAGAAGCCAATTGTCCCATTACTTTTGGTCCCTTAACAAGTGGGAGGCACATATGCAAACTGTTGCAATTCCTACACCCTTCACCTGATTTGGATGTAAATACCCTCAAATTAAAGCTGACAGTCTACAGTTAAAGCACATCTTGTTCGTTTCATTTCAAATCCTTTGTGGTGGTGTATAGAGCCAAAAATGTTAGAATTGTGTCGATGTCCCAATATTTATGGACCTGACTGTACAGTGTGTATTTGATATGACCTTGGCTTTAATAAACATAAAAAAAAAAAAAAGCTGTATCAAAAATGCCTTTCTAACATCAAATTAGATTGTGCCAGGCAAAAAAATTATAAATACATGATTTCTGATGGTTGTGTTGCTAGTTTTTGTCTCTTTCATAGCCTAGCTAAAATGAATAGCTTGCTTAGAACCCTGTGGTATGAAATGACAAATCTTTTCTGGCAGACAATCAGAAATCCAAGTCTTCTTGAATCAATAAATAGCTGTCAATGCAAGTGATGAGAGATCAAAGCTGCAGTGCTTTTTATGCACTTTGTCAATACCTGCATCTTATGTGCTTCAGGGTAATTAATTCATTTTAAATTTCATAGAAAGGCATTTTAGGATTAAACTGTGATGAGATCTTGAATCCAATCTTGCCTACAGATGATTGTGATGAGCATTTAATTAATCTTTCCTAGGCCATTTTAAGATAATAGGTTTGGCAATAAGTTGTGTAGGAAAACAAGTCATAAATAGATGTTATCATATGAAGGGCAGTTAGCTTAGATAACTTGATAATTACGATGCCATTGCACCTCTTTAAAGAATGAGGAAAATAAATAATAATTATTATATTAAAACATACAGTATGTTGAGTTTGCTGATTTTAATAAAGTAAGGGCACCTTCGCTGCTTTCCTAATTTAAAAGTTGATTTGTAAAGAGGTATAATATCCCTATTTACCCAGCTTTATATTTAATACTTCATTACACATATTTCTAAGTGGTGCCTCTGTCGTTATATTAGCATCCTGTAACCCCCTGTACAAATGGATGTGTACTGGGACAGGAAGAGACAACACTGTATGCAAATTAGACTCTACAAACTTGCATTGTACACATGGGGGCTGGTTGGTAACAGGAGAGAGTACAGAGTTGACCTCATCAATTTGTTGCTACTCCTTCACTGTCCAGTCACAGGCTGGGGAGGTCCTTGACCAAGCTGTGTTGTTTTAACTACAGTAGAGAAAAGTGCGGTCAGAAACTGGCAGTGCTGTCTCACCATGGTGGGGTCTGTTTTATAAAGCTGGCTGATGTATTATAGTTGACACTTATAAATGTTGCCTATACTTCTACTTTAAGAGCATTAAAGGACACCCGTCATGAAAGACATAAGTAGGTTGTCATTGCTTTTGTCTTTCTACAAATGCTAGTGGTTTGGTTGTCATTTTCACACAATGGGTTCAGTATTTTTAAATCACTGGCCTAGAATGAGCATGCAAATCAGGAAAGTCAAAGTGAAGTAAGTCTTCATTTACATACCTATTCAAGGCTATGACTCAGACAAATAAAATAAGAGGATCAGCATGGGACCATGCATCTAGAATTTTCAAAAGAATAAGCCAGTCTCCATTTTTCTGTCACAGAAGATTTTTTTAACCACTTGAAGACCAAGCCTATTCTGACACTTCTCTCTACATGTAAAAATCAGGTTGTTTGTTTTTTTTTGCTAGAAAATTACTTAGAACCCCCAAACATTATATATATACCGCGCTATAGCTAAAAGACGGTTACAGTGCAGTTGTCCAGTTCTGGGAAGGTGTCCATGGACGTCTTCCCAGAACGCATCCTCTGCCACCCACTTACAGCTGATGATGCGATTAGTTAAAAGGCCAATCACAGTGGGTCTTTTACCAGGTAATCAGCTGTGTCCAATGACACAGCAGATCACAATGTAAATACAGTTGCTGGTTATTGGCAGGCCTTTCCTCACACTGTCACAGAGTGAGGAAAGTACTGCCGATAACCGGAAAATGTGACAGGGGAGATCTGCACTGATAATCAGTGCACTGAATATTAGTGCTCTGATTATCAGTGCCTCCCAGCAGTGCCCATCAATGCCACTCAGCAGTGCCACCCATCAGTTTCACCCATCAGAGCCAAGCAGTGCCACCCATTAGTGCCCAGCAGTGTCACCCAGCAGTGCCACCTGTCAGTGCCCAGCAGTGCCGCCAGTCAGTGCTGCCCATCAATGCTGCCTATCAGTGCCCAAAGGTACTGCCTATCAGTGTCCATCATTGCTGCTTATCAGTGCACCATCAGTGCATCCTCATCAATGCCCACCAGTGCCGCCTCATCAACGCCACCTCATCAGTGCTACCTATCAGTGCAGCCTCATCAATGCACATCAGTGAAGGAGAAAAATTAACTGTTTGCAAAATTTTACAACAGAAACAAAGAAAAATTTTTTTTTCAAATTGTTTGCTCTATTTTTGTTTATAGTGCAAAAAATAAAAACCCCAGTGGCGAGTAAATACCACCAAAACAA